AAACAACAGCATCTAAAGGTTCACTTCTTTCCCACCGAGACCGCATTTACGACCTGGCCCCAGTGCACTCTGATTTGATCAAGTGTTTGATCAGTTCTGTCCTTGCGCTTGTTTGGCCGAACGGCGTAACAAAACCCACTGCACTTTATCAAGAGATGGAGTTTCTTTCAGAGTGCTGTAGCATTATTATATTATAGGCTAATGCAACGACCCCTCTTTCGTCACTGATTTGACCTCGTCTATGTTACATGAGTGCTGTCCCTTTTTTGCTGTCATCATCAATGCCTTTCTCACACTATATTAGGGTCTAAACCACGAACGAACACTTTGAAACAAAACTTTCCACCTTTTCCCTATCCCGAGCTAGCCTCTTGATATTATTCCATGTCTTCCCACTTTCCTGTACATCATTTTCTGTGACTATTCTCCTGGTTCTAAGTGGTCTTCCCCTGGATATCTTACCCTGTAGATTCCAATTCTGCACTTTCTTTGTTATTCAGCTTTCTGGCTTCCTTAGAGTACGTCCAATCCATCAACTCCGCCTCCTTCATCTCCGACTGTGGGTGGTTGGCGGGTGCTCTGGTGTGTTTTTTTTTCTTTCTTTCCTATCAAACATCTATCCTTTTTTTCTCTCTTCCTTCTTTTTGTTTTCGTTACTCTTTCGTAACACCTCTAATCTTCGGCATTTATATGACATTATTGTGTTGCAAGTGCCGTAAAACACTTACTAAGCATCTCCGACTGACCCTTTTTGCGCTTGTGGCTGAATCTCGAAATGTACTCACTACTTACTACACGTCAGTGCAATAAAAGTCTTTGTGGAGTTAACACCACAAAATCAGCCTGCTCTGTGGTGTAACTAAATTTCTCTGTTGAAGAGTGTCATCACACTTAACGAATTCATTTCTAACCCAGTGGCTTAGGCATCAGAACAATATTATGCAAATGGCAGTGTGTCTATTTTTTGTATTTTTATTAACCGACTGTGAACATATCCTATGTATTTTGGTTAACTTATGCATCGCATTGTGTGCATTACACAACTTTTTTGGTTCACTCATAATGATGTGTGTGTGTGTGTGTGTGTGTGTGTGTGTGTGTGTGTGTGTGTGTGTGTGTGTGTGTGTGTGTGTGTGTGTGTGTGTGTGTGCATTAATGTATATTGCATGAGAAAAAAGATAGTAGTAAGAAAGGTTTTTGAAAAATGGGTATTCCAATGTTAAGCGCATTGAGCTACTTTTTTTGGAAATGCGCTATATAAATGTTATATATTATTATTATTTATTATTATTTAACACCCTAGATGTCAATGGTATTTATAGTATACAAGTATATATTTCGACATATGTCACATTTATAAGAAATTGTCATTATCAGCACAACTGATACAAGCAATAAAGATTCTTATGGTACTGTCTCTTTCTTTCCTTTGAATAGAAATTCCCTAATCAAATTGATCACAGAACGAAAAGAAAGGTTTTGCATAGAAGCTATAGACATACATATATATATTATAAATAATGAATTACCTTTTAGCTTAAAACAAATTGTTACATCAATATCAAAGATACCTTTTTCTACACTGCTTCACACAAACTGTTAAAGTCAGTATAAGTGATACCCTTTTCTACTCTGCTTGCACAAATTGTTAACGTCAGCAAAAGAAGTACCCTTTTCTCCACTTCCAATCTTCCCTCCCATTCATTTTCCATCTCCATTACCCATGTATGGTACAAAACTGGAAACTAAATCTTTAATCACATTCCAGCAAACATTGCTTTTTCCTCTCCACCATTCACAGACAATATGGTACATTCTGGTAGACAGATCATGATACTCAATAAAATAACTTCCTCACTCAGGACTTGAACGCATTTCATTATAATGCAATGAACAAGAGCCTAACACAGGTTCTGAGCTGAGATACCTATTGGAAATATCCACATCTTTTCTTAATGGCTCTCTCTAATTGGCTGTATGTTCTTCGAACTAATCTACTCAACATTACGAACTTGGTAAAATCATCACGAATCACATCTCAAACTGAAACATTTTTTCACAAAAGTGGCACAATTTTTGACATCATGGTTCACAGAGTATTTGGTTGGTATGATACAAAAATCTATTTCCAATTTTGGATCACGTTGTGTTTTTAATCAAACAAAGGCACGAAGGCAGCAACAACCCATCCAGTCATAAAATCATCCAGAAGTTACGAGAGTGTGCATATGTGAGAGAGTATGAACATGGGAATGTGTATTTGTGTGCTTGAGTGTGTGTGTGTGTGTGTGTGTATGTGTGAATGTGATAGTGAGTGCATGAATTTTTGCATATATGTAACATGAGAGTGAATGTCTGCACAAGTGTGCGTTTGTGGCAAAGCTGTCTGTCAGTTCATGTCTCTGGAGTGTTGGAATGCCTGTGCTCGTGCCTTCAGGTGAGCCGACAAATTGCCAAAGAATCAAAATTTTTAAAAGTAGTCATTTTTACTCATTCAATTTTGCATCTTACATTAAGGGGACAGACAAGAATGTATTTACAAATAAGAAAATAATCAGTTGCTTTATTCAAGAAAAAAAATACAATGAAACAAAATAATGTACCCATATTACAAATAAATCTATCGTTATTCTACTCTACTGAAGTAGAGGTAATATTACTCTTATAGCAATTTTTTTAGCACTTCTTCAACATGTTCAACTCTTTTCTATTTAATCTCTTTTCATATCATTACTGACAGTGAGAAGAATAATGCTGAAGTCCTGCTGTTGAGGAAAGTGAGCTTGGTACTAGCATAATACTGTCAGTGGATAAACGAGAGAACACTTGTCAAACTCGGTCGCTTGGAAGGTCAAACTCAAATTAATCTAAACCCTCCACGTGTCGGCGGCTCATTAAATCGGCGGTAAGTTTCATTCTGTGGTGTCATGGCCAATTTGATTGACTGTAAATTTTTGTTCTCTGGTATTACAGCATATTTAATTTGCTGTAATTTGAGTCTCTATTTCATTTAGTTTATTCTGGGGTGTTTTTTTTTATATCACTAAACATTTCAATTCCTTAACAAATGAGCTCTATTTCCTATTCACATTCTACATTCTGAAAATAAATAGGTTTATGCCCTTTACTTGCTTGGTTTTCCTGTTTAAAAACATTTTCCAACATGACATAGTGAAATAATATAATTTCCCCTGACACCAAAGGCTATTTATTAGCGATGCTAGGAGGGTGAATGTCGATACATCAAGTACACACCCATGAACTAGAGCATCAATGATCTTGGCTTGAGTCACTAAAGACTGCAAAACAAAAACATCGAACATGCTGCTATGTGCGAATATCCGTGTCCACAACTTCTCTAGAAAGGTATAAAAGGAAAACAAAGTAGCCAGTCCTTTGTAAAAGTGTTGTAGTGTTTAAATATCCGTCACTGACAGGTGGAAACAACAGAGGAACAGAACGGAAGTAAGAACCGAACAGTTTCACCCTCGAACCAGCCATAGACCAGATCTGACTAACATATCAGGGAGTATTTGAAATGTACCTCTGTTGGGGGAGGGGGGGTGTGAAAGAAAGACGGACAAGAAAATAAACACATTATGGAGAGTACGGAAGCAGTAGGCTAGAACGTACGTGTGGCATCCTCAAACCACCCATTTCTTGACTAAGTATTTAAAGTAAACGTCTATTCTTCCATTTTCTCATGATCACAACATGAAAGAAAAAACAAACCAAAAAAAAACTTCTTTAACAATTACCGTGAATAAGATTAGGATATTTGCTGCGGTAAATGAACAAAGCCACGTCAAACATCTCTAAATAACGATAGAGTTATTGCACAGCACTGGACCATCAACTGCACTGAAGGGACAACAGAGCCTAGAGGAGTACGAAGAAAGACAAGAAATCAGATTATCTTTCAAGGGAAATTCCACACAGGTATACTACACAGAAACATGACAAAACCTGGAACAGGTACACAGTCTTAGTGTATTAGTTATACTAGTCTTAGCAAGAGTTATATAACACTTACAAAATAATAATAAAGTCATCATATAAGAGCCGAAGATTAAAGTTGTTACAAGAGAGTTTTTAAAAAACCCAAAAAAGAGAAAAAGAAAGAGATAAGGACGATAGACGTTTAATAGGAAAGAGGGAGCAAACCACACCTGAGCACCCGCCAACCGCAAATGGTACTCAGTGTGCCACTCTGATGTGTTATGAAAACTCTATTCCAAGTTGCAGATTGTAATGCTTTTCTTTATTCAAATTGAACTTTTTTTAGAATGACTCTCAGAGCTGATAAATTCAGACTGTAAAAGAACAGGAAAAAAACAATTGTGTGCATGCTTGTGTGTGTGAGTGTATGTTGTGAAACACTAAACCAAAATGTCAGGATCTGGGCAATAAAGATTATCTTATCTTATCTTAATTGAACACTTCAGTTCAAAGACTATCAGCCTTGGTTACACTGTAAGTGTAAGACAGAAACATTATTTCTAAAAGAGGGAAAAAAGACAGACAAGAAAAAAAAAGGATGGACACAAATAAATAAATAAAGGACAATGAATTACATTCAACCCCAGGGTGGAGTTTGGTTTAAAATGGCCCCCATGAATGAAAAATTCATAAGACCTTCAAATTGATAACATTTTCTACTGCAAAAATGTACACAGTACAACAGGTCTTTCTATTTCTTTCCATTGCAATGTCATGGAAAAAAATTAACTGCTCTGTGTAAGACTCCACCGTACCCCATTTCGAAAAAAAGACATATGACAGAGTCCAACAAAAAGCAGTAGAAATAGAAATGATGAAACCCCCCCCCCCAAAAAAGACACGTATGAGTTCAAGTTCAAGAATGGAGGTAACGTAAGGCGCGGAGCAGCATTCTACTGTCGGGGTCCTGGCTTGCTAGAGGCGGATCCGACCCTCCAAAATGTCGGAGTATGCCTCCTTGGTCAGCGGCTCGTACTGCCGGGACTTGGGACTCAGGAAGTACATCCTGTCCTGAATGGCCGTGATGTTGAAGCCCTCGTCTCTCAGAACTGTCTTTTTCAGCTTGAATGTACCTGTGGAGAAGCCCCAGGTTTGTTTTTACAGTATAACATGCATAGCTTGAATTCATGGGGACTGGCCTCGGTAGTTCGAGGGATCCGTAGTTCGAGGAATATCTTACTATGTATCAGAATATCAGAACAAAAAATATTCTTAAGATTTCTTCTGATGGCCCCACTGCTATTTCTCTGCTCCCATAGATGACACATCATATTAAGCACAACACATATACAAATTTCAAAGCTGTAGCACCATTTCTATTGAAATCTGAGAAAGGATTTTGTAAGGTATATGAAGAAACCAACTCCCATCTATTGGCAAAAGCTTATATGTAATAATAATAAAAACAGTGTGCACAGTTTTCCCCAGAATTGACAATAAAATCAGTGCTTGTCAACCTGTTCATAGCCAGAGCCCACCTCTTGCTGTAAGAGGCTAATATTTTTGTATTGTTCCTACATATGGATACCCCCCCCACACCCCCCCCCCCCACCCTCTCAACCTCCCAATTAAAATTACACAATTCTCACTAGTGGGCCATATCGCCTAGGTTGGCAAGCACTGCTGTTGTAAATCTTTCACTCTTTTACTCCCCCATTGACACAATTTAGACCTGCTACCCCCTACCTGTTCTGTCCACCTCTTTGAGGAAGCGTAGGAAAAGCGGCCGAGCGTACGCCGGGAGGGAGCGGGAGAGAGCTTGTCCTAGCTGAGCTACGTCAATAGAGTCGTTCTCGTCCACGATGGCCGCCATTCCTGCACGACCTTCACTTCCTGTGAACAACCGAAAATGGTGGATGTTTTACTTTGTGCCCCCATTGACATAATTTTTGTCATTTAATTTATAATAATAATAATAAATAGCATTTATATAGTGTAAATCTCTGCTCGACAGCAAGCTTTATGTACTTTACACATTACATTATTACCCCAGCAGACCAAAGAACACTCTGAAACATTCTCAGCTTCCCAGTGAGCATACTGTGCAAGCAGCTGATTAAGCGCTCAAATACTAAACACACTGACAAGATCCTTCACAGTCTACAGCTGGGTACCCATTCCCACCTGGGTGAAGTGAGGAAAATTCCTGTATAAGGTGGCTTTCCCAAGAACACAATGCCGGACCCCTCACAGGATTTGAACCCACAACCTTACGGTTGCCAGTCTGAGAGCTTAACCATAAAGCCACCGACGCCACATTCATCAGTAGGAGGACTGCTTCAACCATGCTTGAAATTTGAAATAGCCAACTCAAGAAGAAAGTGTTTTTGAGAATGTTATTTTAAGGCACTTGCAACACTATTAGTTCACATAGGTGCCGGAGGTTAGAGACGTTCCAAGAGAAAAACACAGTAAAGAAGGAGAGATAAGGACGAAAGACGTCATTTAAAAAAATTTGTTTTTGTTGTTTTGTTGCGAGTTTGAATATATGTATGTATTAACGTGTGAGTGCAGGTGCATGTATGTGAGCGTGTGTGTGTGTGAGTGTGTGTGTGTGTGTGCGTGCGTGTGTATGTGTGTGTGTGTGTTTGTGTGTGTGTGTGTTTGTGTGTGTGCGTACATGAGTGTGTGCATCCACATGTATGAACGTACCCGGCACCTCCACACCGTAGACCACGGCATCGTTCAGCTGTATAGCGTTACTGATGACAGCTTCCACCTCATTGGTGCTCACGTTCTCCCCTCGCCAACGGAACGTGTCGCCCGTCCGGTCACGGAAGTACATGTAACCAAGGTCATCCATCACCAAAATATCCCCTGAAAATACACAAAATAATCAACATTATTAGATATATCGACTGCTCAGTGTTAAACTCTGCCATACGTCACTTTTCAAAATGGTGCATGGTGGAGTCTTACACTAGGCACTCAATATGTTTATTAACCCTATCCGTACATCGGGTTTTACTATCGTATCGATACGACGTAGGGAACTCTGTGCCCCCACTTTCCAAAGAGGAACTTTACTAGTTAAGCCGATCCGTACGCTTTGCATAGCAGTCTGTCAAAATGAATTTTTGAGAAATACTGAAAGTTTCAAAGAGATCTTCGCACTAGAAGTATTCTAAAATGTGAAGTGTGAAGAATACAACCCCTGGGGTCCAAAATGACCCCAGGAGTATGGATAAGGTTAAAAAAGAAAAAAAAATTTAATCAGGTCTTAGGGTAGAGTCGATAAAAAATAAAAGATAATCCATTGATGAGGAGAAAAGTTTCCGTCTTAGACAGATGAACATCCTGAATAGCGCCATTTTAATATAGAAACAAGACAAGAGGGTAAGTGGAAGGTGGTCATTTGTTTCGGTGGTTGTCTAGGATAGGTGGTCATTAGAGAAGCTTCGAGAGTATTATGAGGCTGTACTTTTCCTGTATTTATAACCGTGTGGAGAAGTATAATGTTCGATAAACGGTGCGACATAAGTGCTGTATCACATTATCTACTACACTCAAAAATTAAAACCAAAAACCAATCAAACACCCACTATTGTTATCTTTTTTTTAGTAAAAGCTTTACAGCACTTGCAACACAATAAGGTCATATAAGTGCTGAAGATTAGAGGTGTTACAAGAGAGTAACAAACACAAAAAAGAAGGAGGAGAGATTGGTAAGATAGATATTTGATAGGAAAGAAGGAGCAAACTACACCAGAGTACCTGCCAACCACCCACACCATTGTTATCTCTCCTCCTCTTTCCTTGCATTTTTTACTCTCTTAGAAAGACCTCTAACCTTCCGCATTTATAAGACTTAATTGTGTTGCAGGCTTCGTAAAACTCTTTTTAGACCAACAGTAAAGGGACCGTCTTATCAAACACAGAACGAACAAACTTACCAGTGGAGAAAGCTTTGTCTCCCTTCTTGAATACGTCACTGATAACTTTCTTTTGCGTGGCGCTGCCGTCCACATAGCCATCAAAGTCGCGGGTTGGATTCCCCTTGATGATCTTGCCCACCATCTCGCCCGGCTCGCCAGGCTCCGCCTTCACACAAATGCCATTACTGTCGCGGACGATCTCGTTGGTCGCTGGGTCCACCTTGACAAGGGTGATTGGGTACAGACTCGGAGCGATTCTCGTTGTGAACCCCACAGCTCCTACTTTGTTCTCAAAGTTTACTGATAATGTTTAAAAAAGAAAAAAGAAGAATTTTAAAAAATTGTAAAAATTCCCATTTGTCTATGTACTACTCATTTTGTCTATCACAGAGATTAGGTAAAAACAAATAAAAATAGGACAAAGAGGATATTCCTGCAAATGGTGTGGGATCAGTATATGAAGAGCTGAGACGTTTACAGACACTTTGACAGGAACATAATATGTTCGCCTGAAAATTATGGAAACTTTCATCAGAAAACTGAGCATGTAACACAAATGCGACTGTCAGATGTAAAAAGGCAATTCGTTCAGGAGTGCACTTGAAGAACTACTAAATTCAATACATTACTTTAAAAACTTTTAAAACAATCAACCACTTAAAAAGGGAAATCTTGCACACACGTACACAAACACACATGCACACACACACATGCACACACACACATGCACACACACACATGCACACACACACATGCACACACACACATGCACACACACACTCTTGTCTCCATAGAGAACAGTACATTCTTCCCCAAAAATCAACAGAGGGTTTTTGATTTTCAAAAAAAACATGTAAGAGGCAGAGGCTAAAAAATCACACACACACACACACAAAAATTAAAAACAACCCAGCAAAATGCTGACAATTTCAGACACAAATGGTAATAATAAACACCTAGACAAAGAACATCAGTATTCACCTATACTGCAGTTGCCCTCCGTGGCTCCGTAGAACTCTCCAATCAAGGGAACCCCGAAACGGTCCTGGAAACTTTTCCAAATCTGTGGCTTGATCCCGTTGCCGTAGAGAACCCGTACGGAATGTTGCTTCTCCTCCGGTCGGAACGGCTGAGCCAGGAGGTAACGACAGATCTCACCGATGTATTGGCCGGCCTGTCGGGGGATGAAGAGTGTTATAGATTTTAAGAAAAGAAGTCTTATGTCAGTCAAAGAGTCAAACAGCATATTGCAGCTTTCCTCTTTGACTATATATTGAAGAAAATACCAAGAAACAGAAAGAAAGACAGTGGGGGAGAGTGGGGGAGAGGAGAGAGGAAGAGAGAGTGACAGAGAGAGAGCGAGAGAGGGAGAGAAAGAGAAAGAGAGAGAGAGAGAGAAAGAGAGAGAGAGAGAGAGAGACAGATAGACAGATCTACAAGCTTTACGGCAAAGTGTAGGAAAGTACACCAAGACACAGAGTACCCACGCAGCTTGTGCTGCGATTGGCAGCCACAGCCAAGAGACAGTGATGCAGCAGAAGTCGCATGTACTGCTCAAAGAGTTAACATGAAAATAAAATGTTTCAGCTAGACAGACACGAAAAGTGATTCACTTACAGGGCATTTGTACTTGACGCAGTCCATGAACAAATGTTAAAATTAAAAACAGCAATGTTTAATTAGACTAAATGACAGACAACACCCCCCCCCCAATTTACTTAGAGTGTATTTGTACTCAACACAGTCCATGAATAACCATTGACATTAATAACAATAATGTTTATTTAAGCTAGATGATAGTAAAACCAATAATGTTTAATTAAGCTAAATGATAGTAAAAACAATAATGTCTAATTAACCGTAAGCTAGATTAAAGTAAAAACAATAATGTTTAATTATGCTAGATGACAGAAAAAAAAGAAAAGCAATTCACTTACAGTGCATTTGTACATGACACAGTCCATAAACAACCGTTAACATTAAAAACAAGAATGTTTGATTAGACTAGATGATAGACCAACCCCCCCCCTCCCCATTCAATTACTGTACATTCGTACTTCATGCAGTCCTTAACCAATCATTTGCATTAAAAATATTAATATCTAATTAAACTAGACAGACAAAAAAAGCAAAACAATTCACTCACAGTGCATTTGCACTTGACGCAGTCCTTGAACAATCATTAACAATATAAATGATATATCTAATTAAGCAAAATAGAAAAAAAAAAAAGCAGCCCAACAATCCACTCACAGTGCAGCAGCAATCGACGCAGTCCTTGAACAATCGTTACAAAAAACCCCGAAAATATTTAACTAAGCTAGAGAAACTAAAACCGATTCACTCACATTACATTTGTTCTTGAAGTAGTCCTTGAACAAACTTTAACATTTAACATAATAAAGCTAGATAGACCCCCCGCCCTCTTAATTTTAAAAAATCGCTTACAGTGCATTTGTACTTGACGCAGTCCGTCCAGAACTGACTGGCGGAGAACTTGGGCCGGATGGCCAGAGTTGTGCCCCCTAGGATGGCCTGGCTGACCCCAAGGATCCCGCCCGCCGTGTGGTACAGAGGCAGAGCAATGTACAGGACGTCCTTGTTCGACAGGCTGAAGAACAGCTTGATGCCCCAACCCATCAGGCAAAACCTGTCAGCGATAATAATAACAATAAGAAGAAGAAGAACAAATATATATATAAAGATAATGACAATGATAACAATGATAAAAAACGATGAAAAAAAATAAATAAATACTAGTATCTCGGGTAATAATAATAATAAATAATAATAACGATAACAACAATAATAATGATAGTGATAACAATGACAAAATGATTATTATAAAAGTTTGTCATTCAAGAAATGATGATGACCGTTAACATCCGAGGAAGAAAAGTTATAGACTGTGCAAGCAACCGGTACCTAACATGGTAAAAAAAGTAAGCAATGGAAATAATAGCATGCCGTTTGTAAATGAAAAACAAACTCCTTAGCTCATCTTAAATAGCAGTGCCTTTCCCTTTCGTCCCTTTCATAAAATAATGAGACAGTATAAGCCACTTCATCCATACTATTTTGGGGACATATTTGACAAAGTTGTTGAAGTCAACCAAATCTTATACATGAAAAGGGATGTCCCCCCCCCCCCCCCCCAACAGTCAAATCCAGAGAACCATCACCATCAAGTGCCTTGTCAATAAACTTAGTTTGAATTTTACAGCACTTGCAACACAATAAGGTCATATAAGCGCCAGAAATTAGAGGTGTTACTAGAGAGAAACAAACACATAAAAAATGAGAGAAAAGGACGATAGATGTTTGACAGATTAGAAGGAGCAGACCCCACACACTAGAGAACCAGCCAACCACCCACAACCAGTTCTGGAGAACACAAGCGACTCGCCAGCACATGTCTGCACAGCGGTGAAGAGGTAAAAGAGTTGAACAGACTTTTGGGGCTCTGAACTGCCGGGGTTTTGATGGAGAGCTAAACAGAGTGTCCCATGCTCACCTGAGACATTTAGTTTTAGTAAGAGTTTTATTTTACAGCATTTGCAACACAATTAAGTCACATAGGTGCCAAAGATTAGAAAATGGTATAGGTTTAAGTCACTTTAACGCCCCTATCAACAATGTTTGGTTATTTAAGAGGCGGGACCTCCGAGCTTGAAGTTCTTCTCTGAAAGGACTGAACCAAGTGAGAAATTCATGTAAAGTGTCTTTCCCAAGGACACACGGTTGGACCAAATTAAGGCTCGAACCCCTGAACCTGCAATCTCACGATTACGCCACACCGAAGATTAGAGTTAGTTTAGTTTTTTAGTAAGGTTTTACTGCGCTCGCAACTACATAAGGTCATATGAGCGCGAAAGGGTGGATGTCAACAGAGAAGTCCAAACGGGGAATCAGGCTTCCTTTGCTCACCTCTCTAGCCTCAACAGCACAAAGTCTGCTTCGACTACTAAGGCACCCAAAAAATAGCAGTTCACAAGAGAGTGACAAACATACAGAAGAAGTAGAGGAAAAAATGACGACAGTAAGGAAGAGGAAAGAAAAAGCAGCAGTTTCCCCCCATGTTGTTTAGGCACCGTATGAAGATTAAACGTATTACAGAGAGTAACAAACACAAAAATAAATAAGACAGATTAGCACGACAGACGTTTGACAGGACAGAAGAAGCAGACCACACCAGAGCACCTGCCAGTCATCCGCTCACCTGAGATGTGACACAACGGCGGCTTTCGGCATCCCTGTCGTGCCGGACGTGTAAACGTAGAACAGAGCGTCTGTGGGGACACAACAAGACAGGGAAATGTCAGATTTAGTAAGCATTTTACTGCACATGCAACAGAATCAGGTCATATAAGAGCCGATGTTTAGTTTCAGTAAGAGTTAGTTTAGTTTTAGTAGAGGTTTTATAAAACTCGCAACTGCATAAGGTCATATGAGCGCCAGACGAAAAGAGATGTCACAAGAGAGTAACAAACATAAAAAAGAAGAAGGGGAGATAAGGACGATAGATGTTTGATAGGAAAAAAGGAGCAAACCACACCAGAGCACCCGCCAACCACCCACTCAGTAAAAGTTTTACAATAATCGCAGCACAACCAGGTCAAAAAAGTGTTAAAGGTTAGAGGAGTAACAAGAGAGTAACAAACACACACAAAAATAAAAAGAATGATCAAAGATAAGGATGATAAATGTTTTAGTGCTTAAGTTCAGAGGTGTTACAAGACAGTAATAAACTCACACAAAAAAGAAAGATAAGAGATAAGGACGATAAATGTTTTAGTGCTGAAGTTCAGAGGTGTTACAAGACAGTAATAAACACACAAAAATATGAGAAAGTAGTACACTTGCTAGTAATGCCATCCAACCAACTGAAGGGAGAGATGAGAGCAAAGGTATGCAACACACACACACACAAACACACACACACACACACATGCACACATGAACATAAGCGCACACACACACATATACACATAAGCAGACATGCACATGTACACACAAACACACACATACACACACAAGAACACACGCACACATACACACACAAGAATACACACACAGATACACACTCACAAAAGCATACATACATACATACACACACACATACACACACACACACACACACAAATACATGCACGCACATGAGCATACACACACAAACACACACGCACAAGAAAACACACACAAGAACACACAAATACACATACACAAATATGTATATATATTATATTTCAATTAACTTACTTCATATGACATTATTTTTTCTGTTTATCACATCAAACCTGGTAATGAAGGCAGAAAGCGAAAGCCGCACCACCAGTTACCACATTAAAACCGCTATAATGTGTATAAATTATCTTGCCACTGAATTTGTTATATGGAAATCTTTCCAGACTGGAGTAAGCAGGACGGACTGAGGCAGGTGAATTTGAACCTTGTTTGAGAGTAAAAAAAGTACACTTCACACTAGAAGCTGTAACACGAGAATCTATTTATTCAAAGTCTCAGGTTGGACTTTGTCTCGTCGAAAGGTAGCAAGGGTCAAAATACCTCAGGGTCTTGGAATTGAAACCAGCCAGCGACAGAATAAAATGTTTCTTCTCTGAATTTTCTTTTCCTTGATCTTATCTACTGTTCTCTATCCCTATTCTGTTATCTGCATTTCCCTTCACCCTGTCACCCCTTCTACTGGCTTGGTTTTTTGGGGGGGTTTTTTAAAAGAAAAATCTTTGAAAATCCATGTCTTAAGAAAAACAATATAAATTCATTATGAACATGATGTGTCAACGCTACGAAGGAGAAATGCAGACACAGAATGAGCTAATAGTGAATTTGATTTGAGTCCATTATCTGACGACATTCTTCAGTAGTAAAAAAAGAGTGTGTGTGTGAGTGTGTGTGTGCGTGTTTGAGTGTGTGTGTGTGTGTGTGTGTGTATGTGCATGTGTGTGTGTGTGCGTGTGCATGTGTGCGTGAGTGTGCAAGAGGAGGGGTAGGGGGGCTGCTTCTAGAGCCCGTCCCAGAAACAATATGTGAGGCATCGTGATGAAACCAGGCGCTCGTCAAAACAATGAAATCGAAGAAATTTGCTATTATCCGCAGTCTGGCAATTTTTATCGAATTTTTACTTTCGGCGCAACACTTTTCATGCCCATTAAAAACAAATTTCAGACTTGATTTTACTGGAAAAACATCGATCAAACGCATAAAAGATGGAAACTTTTAGTTTCCACGAGCTCTCAAGCTAAGGAAATAACAAAACTTTGACAGCCATTTTCTCGCTAATTTTACCTCTGAAACAAAGACGACCCCACCTCCTTCAATCGCAAATATCCCAATTTGTATCCAAGATAAATGGGTATTGTTTTCATTGAAAGCAAGGCAAATGGACATGCTTCAAGATGATACCAATAACTCCATATGCCAAAAAATAGCCGAGCGTCTGATTCCACAGTGTCGTGGCACATATGTGAGGCAGCGTGGTGGAATCAGGTTCTCGTCAAACTAATCAAAATGAAGAAACTTGCATTTTCCCCCTTTTTGTGAATTTTTATTGAATTTTTTTTTGGGGGCGCAACACCTTTCATGCCCTAGAACTCATTTCCGTGTGGATTTTTCTGAAAAACGTTTATTAAAGGCACAGAAAATGTAAATTTTCAGTTACCACGGACTCTTAAGCTAAGGAAATAACTAACCTTTGGCGGCCATTTTCTCACTAATTTTACCTCTGAAAACAGGTGACTCCCACCTCCTTCTTTCGCAAATATCTCAACTTGCATTCAAGATAAAAGGATATTTCTTTCATCCACATAAAGACAAGTGAACAAGCTTGAAGATGATACAAATAACTCTACATGCCCAAAAATTGACGAGAGCCTCATTCCACCATGCTGCCTCACATATTGTCTTTTCGTTCTACCTTTTGGTTCCCGAACAACCAGAGGTGGAGGGAAGGAGGAGCTTTTCTCCAGTTCTTTGTCGAAACTGCTGTAGGCAAAACTGTTAACATCGGAGGTTCCGAGGCAGTAGTATGTGACATCGCTGGGCAGGCTGGGGTGTACGTCTTTCAGGGCTGGAAACAACACAATTCACATGACTCAGCACTTGGTTACTTAATTTCTTTATTTTAATTTCAGTAAGCTTTTTAAGGCACTTGCAAAACAGATAGGTCATACAAGTGCAGAAGATTATCAGGGGTTCCAAGAAAGTTTTTGTTTGTTTTAGTAAGGTTTCACTGCGCTCGCAACTGCACACTGTCATATGAGCGCCAAGGGGTGGATGTCAACAGAGAAGTTCAAACGGAGAATCAGGCTTGCTCTGCTCACCCCTCTAGCCTAAACAGCACAAAGTCTGCTTCGACTATCAAGGCAACCCCGAAATAGCAGTTCACAAGAGAGTGATAAACATACAAAAGAAGTAGAGGAAAAATTACGATAGTAAGGATGGGGAAAGAAAAAATAGCAGCTCCCCCTACGTTGTTCCGGCACAGTATGAGCATGACATTGATAAATCAACCGATTTACAATTCTACTGTGCATAAGAACACGTTAATACTTTGGGAATGGTCTAAAGACACTTCAGTCAGTAGCACTGCCCGGGGAAGGGGGGGGGGGGTTTACAAGAAAGTAACAAACATAAAAGAGGAGGACGAGGAGAGATAAGGATGGTAGGTGTTTGATGTGAAAGAAGGAGCAAACTACACAGGAGCAATAAAGAACTGCAATTTAGAAACTAAAGAAAGAGAGGTACACAAACAGAGAGGAAAAGGAGATAGTAAAGAAGAGGAACCTACCAAAGGAGCCCTCCAACCACCCAATTGGACGATTTTTTCTGATCTTTCTACTTTCTTTGATTGGCTGAATTGCAGAAAATTGAATTACATTCACTTAACAACAGTAAACTGAGGTTCAGACAAAAACAAGTCATCAAACAGAAAGAAAAAAAGTAGAATGTACTTGGGGCACTCTCTAACCAGTTGGTCAATTCTTTTTTTTAAATCTTTAAATGTTTTTGCTTCTTTCAGTAAAGGGAAAGTACATAAGTACAATATAGAAGGTCATTTAGGGATTTTGAAAAGCAACAAAAACAACAAACTGCATTTTAAGACTTAATCTTTGAATAAAAAGTCAAATACAAATAAACAAAAAACAAAGTTATTTTGAAAGCATTCACAAACAATGTGAATTCATCCAAATCGTGGCCCACATACCTTGAGCAAGGTTTCCAGCAAATACCACCGCCTTTGCTTTGGAAATCTGAAAAAAAAATGTTATGTAGGGTAATGGTTTGGTATGGTAATGCGATAAGGTGCTGTAGTATGATGAGGCGACGTAAGGTTTGGTAAGGTAATGGTTTGGGTGTAAAGTGCCTCACTATCAAGGCTAAGAGGCTTTGTCTTCAAATCAAAATATCCACTTCCAACAAGACCAACTCATGGATGCGGGGAACCTTGAAAAGTTCCTAACCAATCCAAGCACAAGAATGCCTCCATGGATATTGGAACCACGGCCATCTGCATCGTAGCTCAGTGCTCAACCAACTAAGGTAGTGGTTCAAGCCATTCTCGTGAAAGGGGAAATTTAACCACATAATTCAAATCAGAATAGTTTTACTAAGAGTTTTTCAACACTTGCAGCACAATTACATTGTACAGTACAAGGGCTGAAGATAAGAGGTGTTACAAGAGAGTAACAAATACAAAAAAGGAGGAAAGATAAAGACCTTAGATGTTTGATAGGGAAGAAGGAGTAAACAACACCAAAACACCCACCAGATGGACTTTGAGGTGGATCCTGAGAAGAAAGAATGGAAGTTGTGGAGGGC